TTTGGAGGCCTCACACGGGGCACGAATCATGGCTAATGAGGTGGGCGTTTCCTATCATTACACCTCCTTTTTTTCGTTAAAAAAAGTACGTTTAGTTGTTTTAGAAGTTACAATTTGTTATCCGAAAGAGCATGAGAAAAAGAAGCTAAAGTCATTTTCATAACAAACGCGCAACTAGACCTGATTCAATACAGAAGCTGTGAAAATAGGTCGTAGTTGGTTAATTTCAATTGTAAAACGGTTCCCTCTAAAAGTAGCTCATTTCAAAGTCTGAAACTGAAATTTTTCTGAATTAAAGGCGTTCAGTTAACTGAGTTTAAAAAGCTTTTTCTTCGTGGAGAGATGAAAAAGCGCGCGCAAATGAAATTCTTAGATTATGACGCCACTCTTTGATATTCCACTATTTTCACGCGGGAATGCAAGTTGATAATGTTTTTTATCCCAGCTTTTTTGCTCTCTTCTTATTTCGTCAATTAAAAAGGTAACATTTTTGGCAATTTTTTTTCCAGTCTGCAAGAGAAAAGGAACAATTAACACAGAACATCATCCACCTTGAAACACAGATTAACGGTTAGTTTTATGTGGTCACGCATGCATGGAAAGAAAAGTGCGCGCGCACTAGTGACCCATTTAACTAAGAGTTGCCGATCCCCCCTCCCTCCTGCTTCTCGTTCCGTAATAGATAGTTCCGTCTTTTGTGTTTTCCCGGTTAACTTTATCACTCAGACCTTGAATTTGTTCAAACTTTTATAATAAGCAATTGCAATATTAATTTGTGTTTTAACAGCTAAAGAGAAGGAGATTGGCTTTCTTAAGCAAACTCTCTTTGGAAATGACAAAGACATTGCTGATCTTAAGGAAAAACTGTCCCAGCTAAAACAAACTGTGCAAACGACTCAATCTGATTTTGTCAAGCACATGGCATCAATAAACAAAAAGCTACAGGAGGCAAGGAAGAACATTGCCCAGCTCGAGGGGGACCTTAATTTTACTGTCCAGAAGAGTAAAACAGAAGCAGAAGAGTCCCGGAGCAAACCACAAACCGTTAATGGTGAGTATGTGAAGTGGGATGGTGTCGTATCAATTGAGTAGTGACAACGCGGTTGATACGAAGGCCTCGTCTTTATGAACTCATTTTATGTTCCAGGAAAGCGTTAGGGGACGTAATTGGAGAGGAAAGAGGGGTCTGCATCACCTATCACTGAAAATAAATCGGTTCTTTCACAAACTATGGAAAATGAAACATGACTCAAACTCAACGAAATCAGCATTTACGGGCCTGACTTAAAAGCACGTTTCCCATTTTCCTAAAGGCATAACTTGTAAATACCATTTCCATCCTCAAGACAAGAAGAACAATTTTACCCTGACAACTTTTCAATAATCCTTCGATTTTATTAAGAGTTCTTCCATGCAGTTTGATTTTTATTTCTTCTTCTTTCTTTTCGTTTTTTTTCTCAACTAGGCAAAGTTTACTTTGACTTTCAACCATCATGGTTTGACACTCCATCCAATAACGGTGGATGTTTCAAAGTTGAAAACTTTCCAGTTACAGCGAAAGATCTTGAAGTCATAAGGAATGTTAAATCAAATTCTAGGGCCGTCACTGTGCAAGCTAAAGGTACGAAGAAGGAAACTTGTAAAATACGATTCCTCCACAGTCCACATCTGCACGAAAGCAGTGAAGTTCTTACAAGTCACAAAACAGTTGGATGCTTAGGGTTGATAACATGTTCTTCCATACATCGGCTTTGATTTTTTAATTATCTTTCATCCAGACAAAGATTATTTTAACCATCAACCGTCATGGTTTGACACTCTATCAAAAAACGCTGGATGTCTTCAAGTTGAAAACGTTCCAGTTAAAGCAAAAGAGCTTGAAGCCATGAAGAAAGGTTTGTAGAGGGAAACATGTAAAATACGATTCTATATAAGTGATGGTCCAAATCTGTGCGAAGTAGTGTCTTCTGTGAGTGACGAACCAGTTAAGCTAATTAAAATTGTCGATTTACCCTTCAGCTTTACTTTTGCAATGTACTCGCCTGATTCTAATAAAATGAGCAACTTAATGAGGTGTTACATCATACAAATATAACACAGATTACTCCGGTATTGAGGAGAACTTCTTTTCCAAGAAAGCCAAAGGCGTAACAAAACCAACACATATCTCTACTTCCAACTTTGTTTAAGCTCAAACTGTCATGATTTCTGCTGCATTCAAGACTCGTGACTTATCCAGTCAGATCAACCCTTTTTCGGATGAGGTAGCTTGAATTGAAAAGAGTTAGCTTGCTCCCTTATCGAGTGCTCAAGGTTACGGTTTTTGTGGCGGTTTAGAAGAAATGTCTCGCTGAAATTAATCCACTTTTGGTTCAGTAAGCAAAAATCTCAGGTATCTGTATGTAGAAACGAAATTCTCTGCCTTGCCATCATAAAATAAAACTTCATTTATCTTTTATCTAGGCAAAGATTATTTTGACCTTCAACCATCATGGTTTGACACTCTATTGGAAAACGCTGGATGTCTTGAAGTTAAAAACTTTCCAGTCAAAGCAAAGGATCTTGAAGCCATGAATGTTGAATCAAATTCAAAAGCCTCCACTAAGCGAGCTAAAGGGTATGAAGAAGAGAACTTGTAAAATACGATTGCACATATTTAACAGTCCACATCTGTGCGAAGTGGTGAAATCTTCCGTAGAGACAAATCAGTTAGACAATTAGAATTGCCAGTCTACCCTTCAGCTTTTGTACTTTTGCAAAGTACTCGCCCAATCTTTTTTCCAATTGTCTAAAGAGTCCATATCCTTACCGTCGCCCACTACATCTTATTATGGCGAGCACTGTTTCCCGTGGAAAAATTGTAAAATGCATATTATAAGCTCCCTGAGTTCAAACATTGTCCTAAGACCTCGTAAGGTGTTTGCCAGTAACACAATATACGGAAGTAAGAGTAGTGCTGTTCAGTAAATTAAATGCCAAAAATTAACCTGTCAATAATTTAGCATTGTGTTAAATGTAGTACTACCTGTACTTTCGTTTGACTTAAAATTGTGACATCGACTCGGATTCTCTTTTACATTCCACAGATCATCGTCAATGCGGGCGACCAAGTCTTCTATTTTTCTGATTGCTTAATAACTTCAAAGCCGGGCGTTGTTTGTAACTTTGAGTTTGTTATATTTCATCGTCTTTTGAAAACTTTTGTGAGCACTGAAATAAATCAACAACCATGTCTTAAGGAACAAATATTTTAATTTTTGGAACATCATTTTTAAAAGCTTTTGTAAATATGTATGTAGCAATGTCATATTTGATAATTACTTAATTAATAATTAGTGAATTTTGACAAAATTTGTCAAAATTGTTCATCTCTTTTTTATTCAAATAAACATTAAATAACACACAAATGAGGTATTTCGAAGACAATATCAGTTTGAAAAAGTATGCTGGGATATGTTTGCAATTTGATTAGTGTGGTCCATGATGCACCAAGCATTATTTATTATAATAGTTACTGGCAAACTGCAAGGCAAACCTCTTGCTGATGGAGATACTTTCAGCTATGTAAATCTTGTCTGCAAATGTGATTGAAGCGACTGAAAACAAAAAGAACACAGAGTACGCTGAATATCAACACCTTTTCCTCCAACCAGAGACTGAAATGAGAGCATAACTTAGCATGACTATTGCCAACAAGAATCTTACCTTGCATGAAGTGGTTTAGTCCTCTGAGTTCGGCAATTTTTGCCCCAATAACAATCAGCACGCCTATGCACTGTCTCTGTAATCAGAAAAGACATGCGCACAAAGGGTTACCTTTCAGTTTAACATAATGTTTTCATCTGTAATCAAACCGATATCAAAATTCTAGAACGTAATTGGTTTTCAGCTCCAACTGGACAGCTAATGGATCATGCTTGTACTTCGACGGTGTGTTAAAGCAATTTACCATTGAGAGTGGAGAGTAATCCGAGATCGCTTGGTGATTGGTCCAGAAAACTCGCACCATTCTCTCAACCAATCATACGCAAAACTAAAACCAATCTCGTCTTTATCACCGAGATTGGCTCTTGAGGTTTTTTCCTTTCTTCTGACCGGTCGTCTGGATAACTTCGGTTTTGGTTTTACGACTCTCAATGGAAAAGCGCTCTAAATCGCATGCCGTGTTATAGACTGCTGCGTCCATTTTTATTATGTTTTCACCTACGAATACGTTTAACCGATGGGTATCTTGTCTCTGTAACTTTGTCCCAGTTTTTTTTATGTTGGTAACCGAACTTTGAGTCTCCCAATCTCACCTGCATGTAATCCTTAGAGTGATAAAAATAAAGACAAACTCCTGGGATACTTGCCTGGTAGCTGATCCATTGGAATGTTACGACGAAACTGATACGCTAGCTCCTTGAAATTCCGAAATGCACTTAAGTAACAAAGCACACTTTCTGAGTTGATATCATGGCTTGCTGCATCTATAGGAGAAAATAACCAAGGATGCTTAAGTCTTCACTTGAGTTGAGGTTTAAGTTAAGTGGAATTCCAATGACATGAACCTGCGCTAACTCGAACCTTTCGCTAATCCGAACCAAACTCGGTCTCCCATGGATTTCTGTCTTACATCGACTGCAATGCACAAGAAAGCAAAAGCTCTAGGTCCCAAGAACATCTTTTAAGCTAGTGCGCAGCCGCAAGGGGGGAGGGGGGGAGGATCCTGGAGTGACTGGAGTGCACTTAGCCCCTATCTACAAACATCAGAAGGTTGCTCGCGCTGGACACCCATCCCTCCCACCGCCCTTCCTCCCCTCCCTCACGAGAAGATCCCTCCTACACCTTAATAGACACTTTTGCTTCAGATCAAAAACACAACGCACTACCCACCCACTGTCGCATATTCTTTGGAGTCCAGCTTTGAAACATACTTCTGTAACAAGTATTTTTCACAAATGCTTTGTTCGGTTAAATAATCCTGTCGAGAATGAAAATGTTGACGTGTTAGCCTTTTCAAGGTAAGCTTTCATCTTTAAAGGAAAATCATAGGCCTTTCCCTGGCCATGAGGGTCCAGATACATACCGCCAATAATAGGGTGGAGACAGCTTGTTAAAATCCTCTAAGCTGGGCATGGTGTATTTAGAATCCCTTGACGATATTCCTTTGTAATTAAAAAAATATCGATAGACATCACGCTCTATGTTAACTTTGCAAGTGTGCTGCACTTTGACAGCATTTGATTTTAAAGGTGACTTGACTGCCAGATAAAAGCCATTAAATGCTGAGGCAATTTCACTTTCTGAGGGCTGTGGAGGCTTTTTATAAAGTCTAGAAGAAATTCAGAAAACAGATTTATTAGGACAAAAAAAATTCGTTTAAAACGATCTTAACAAATTAACTAATTGTTCAGCTTGTGTTTATTATTCTTATAATAAAAAAACAAGGTGTTTTAAATACTGGAGGTCAACTAAAAAGCATGTCTTGTTCTAAAGGAACTATATTGACTTCAACTTTTTTAAGCTTTCTTTACATTTTGGCATGAACTGAAAAATTATGTTGTTGTGGTAACAGATAGATGGAGGGCAGGCTCCCAGGTACATGATGACATGGGCCATCCTTTCCACTTGATAAGGTATTCTATCTCCTATGAGAAAATAAATAAGAGGTGAAACGGTCGGCTAAAGACAAGCCTTGGAATATAGCACCTTTAAAACAGGCATTAAGTACTTACTTTGCCGCTTTTCCGCTTCGAAAGCAGTCTTTCGTCTTTCCGTTAAAATTAGAAAGTAATTAGAAAGTAAGATTGAGTTCGATGTAATAGTCTCTACTTTTGTTAGGACATAGACATATGGACCTCCCGGCGCAACAAAACTGAGTGAAAACATCATCCTTATCGTTCTAGTAAAAATAGATGATACTTTACGTTCCAGTGCGTACTAAAGTATGTTTTTAATTCAAAACATTCGTATCGTTAATGCATATGAACTGGCAGCTGTAAATGTTTCTTTCGACCGAGGGAAAATGGGCAAGCAAAAAAAAGTCGTTTTTGAACCTTTTCCGCGATAGTCGAACACTACTAGATTCAATAAGAGGGTTATTATTTTAGAACACCAGACTGACTTATTTTTGTGACTGGACGCGATAGTCTCCACTATTGTCATGACGTTTCGTATCAATGTTGATTCGCATCAGAAGAAGCAAATATCTTTTGTAACAATTTCGATAATTCGAATGCAGTAATTTGTTCGCATCTAATTCTTGCGTATACTGTACCACTCGCTATAATAAATACGGCAGAATTGGAACGAAATGGCTGTTTTTCTGCACCTTTTTTGAGGAGTGTTGTGTTGTGATTGAAAAGAACATCGACAGAAAGCTTGCAAATAGAATCAGTTACCAAATACGATACAAACGATGCTCAAAAGGAAAGTTTGGTAGAGGGGGTCCAAATCTGCGAAGGTGGATCCATATCCGCTAACGTATATATGGACGGGGGAGTCCAAATCCGCGGGGGGTTCCAAATCTGCTGTGACACCGGCGCAAAATGTCCGTGATTTCTGATAATGAGCTCTACTAGCTTTAGAAGTGTTTTAGCAGTTCCGTCAAACGTGTCGGACGAGACAGTTCTGTCGACTGTGTTGACCGAGGCGGCCAATTTGGTCGTGTTAGTCGAGGTAATCTGGTCAAATGGCTAATTTGGCGGGAGAGGCAGGATAATGGTCGAGCTACCTGCTGCCATCTTTAAAATGGTGAAGTAGGAAAAGTGACCCTTGTGCATGTGATTGAGAGGAGCCATCGTGAATGAATCACGCTGATTTTAGCTGTATCTCACTAAATACAACGTTTGGGTGACTTTTGTGGCCAAGTTTTGCTTTTGTCAGCTTTTTGGCACCGAAAACATGTATTTGTTTGTTTGCAGCTAATTGGGCTGTTCTGGGCTTGATCTCATGAAAAGCACCGTTTTTCTTTTTTTATTGCTAAGCTAGGCTGTTTTTAGCTTTGTGACACCGAAAATATGTTTTTGTTTGTTTGTCGCTAAATTAACGCTGTTTACAGTTCGATCCTACTAAAGACTGAGTCTTAAGCCTCCATGCGACTAAATTACGTCTCTTTCACATTTATCTCACCAAAAACATTTTTCCTCTTGCTTGCCGCTGAATTGAGTTGTTTTTAGCTTTATGACAGCCAAAAAAGGTTTTCTACCTGTTTTCAGCTAATCACCCTAATGTTAGCCAAACAACGGTTTTTCCTTTTTCGCAGCTAAACCAAGCGGTTTTAAGCTTTCTAGAACTGAAAACGTGTTTTTTTGCTTCTTTGCTCTTGAGTTACGCTGTTTTAGCTTAAGCGCACTGAAAAGAGGTTGTGGTATCTTGCTAACCAATCACGCTGTTTTTACATTTATCGCAATGTTAACAGCGGTTTTGCTTTTTTGTGGCTAAACTGCGCTGTTTCGAGCTTTTTTAGTCTGGGAAAAGCTTATCTGCCCGTTTGCAGCTAACCATGCTAACTTCAACTTTATCTCACTCAAAACGCGAGTGAGATAAAGTGAGTGAGATAGATATAGCTAGAATCACGAAACTTTGGCTACAAAAAGGCAAAGACGCTGTGTTCCATCAGATGAGGCTCAAAGCTCTTGTTGAGATAAAGCTAAAAACTGCTTGATTCAGAGCAAACCAGGGAAAAAAACCTTTTCGGTGCGATAACGCTGACGAAAGCGTAATTTAGCAAGAAAAGAGAAAAACCGTTGTTTTGACTGAGATATAGCGACAACCAGCGTGACTAGCTGCAAACAGGCAGAAAACTTTTCCCGGTAAGATAAAGTTAAAAACAGCTCAATTCAGCGGCAAACAAGTGCAATAATGTTTTACGCACGATAAGGCTTAAAATGGCCTAATTTAGTTGCAAACAAACGAGGACATGTTTCTGGCGCTATGGAGCTGAAAACAGGGTAATTTAGCGAGAACAAAGTAAAAACGTTTATTTGAGTAAGATATAGCTACAATCAACGTAATTCGCTGCAACAGGCAAAAAACATTTTCCCGATGCAAAAAGAAGCCATAAACAGCGACAAAAGAGCAAAAACGTTGTTTTTAATGAGATAAAGCTGGAATCAGCGTGATTCGCTGCAAACAGGCAGATAAGCTTTTACCAGTGTAAAAAATAGAATATCTGAGTCATTACTAAGATTTGCTCCATCCTTTGCCTTGATTTGCATGATTTTCTTTTTATTGCAGTGATGATTTTCTAGGCCCAAGAAATATTTGTTATTTTTCTCACCTTCATTATACCATCTCGCTCTGGAACTAATTATGGCTCCTTTTGTTTTGTACTCAATAATGCTCTCTAATTCCCTTTTCTTCACCCTCAACTGTTCAGCAAGAGCTTCTTTGTCGTTCCAACTGCCTTTAGAGAGCGGCTATATCATTTTCAATATCGGTCTCCTTGTTCTTCATTTTCTTTGTTTTCGCCTTTGAGTATTTGATTGAAGTATCTCTAATTTGAAGCTTTATCATTTCCCATAACAACGCTTCGTCTACTATTTCGTCACTTTCGTATTGGTTGACCGTTCCAAGAATTGTCGATTTAATATTGTTTACGTAATCCATTTCCCCCAATAGTGATGAGTTTAATTTCCAAAGGCCTGGTCCTCTGGGATGGGTCTGGTAATTAATAGCGATGTTGCACAAAGAATGGTCCGTTTTAGAGCCGGGATGGATGTCAGCTTTTAAAATTCTTCCGGCGAGACTTACACTTACAAGGAAAAAAATCTAACTGACAATGTATTTCAGGTTTGTTTTATCTCCATGTGTATCTTCTCCCCTCTGGGTTTAAGTCCCGCCATATATCGGTCAGATCAAGATTATCTCGAATATTTTGAATCACTTCCAAGGAATTTCGGTGCGTTGTTAATTTCCCACCCTTTTTGTCCTTCGTGACATCCACAACAAGATAAGGAGCATAAATATTACAGATGGTTAAGATTAGCTCACCGACTTCTAAATCAATAATAATGTACCTCCATTCCTTATCACATATTGGCCTCAAAACCTTGAAGGTAAAGTTGTTATTGAAGAGGATAGCGACACCTGCTATGTTACTTGCAAGGCCACTGAAAAAAGCTTTATAGCCCCATTCAGTGGCCCAAGTCTTAAAGGACCTTTCAGCACAATGAACCTCTTGCAGCATGTAAATAGAAACCTTTTGCTTTCTTAACCACTGAAAAATTTTTCTTCGTTTTTCGTTGTTTCCCAAGCCTCGTACGTTAAGGGATGAAATTGGGTATAATTTCCGCACAGCCCCATACTATTGTAAAACAAATCTGTTTTCCCAGAGGCAATGTATTGTTTTTGTCATTGTTTTCTTTATCCAAGAACTGAATGCATAATGTAGTATGGGGCTGTGGGGAAATTTTACCTGAAATAGTTATGTTAGACATTGGAAGCTCTACTGAAACTTAAATAAATTAGTTGGGTTTCATGCATAAAAGATTTTCCCACTAGATACCCTGTACACCAAAATAGAAACACAAAATAAATATATAAACATGGCCAAACGAATATGCATCTAAAACAAACCCAATTAAATTAACCTTAAAAGACATACTTTGATTGAGAAGGTCTCCAAGGCAAGCCAAAGTACGTCTTTCAGTGAAGAAATGTCGAGCCTCTTGTCATAAGATTATTCTTGTTATTAGTAAAGCTTTCTGTTCATGATCGTGGAATGTATCTCTGACCGTTAATGTATAGTTTGTCACAAACCGATTTGGCGTCGCTCTCCTCTTTTTTTGCTTCTTATAAGACTTTCACGAGGCCTCATCGTGTTTCCACAATCTCTCGGGGGAAATCTTGTGAAATTCCGAAAACTGTTCCAACTAGAATACAAGCGTTAGATAGTATGAATTCTTTATTCTTGTAGAAACTAAACTTTGCTATGATCGGGCGCGGCTTCTGACCATTTAGATTTCGTTTACCAAGTCGATGTACACGTTCTTTCAACTTCAGTTCGTCTCCTAGAAAGGAGAAAAGTAGCGATTCGGTCTTAGCGCTTGTTTCATTCACTTCTTCAGGAATACCAAAAAATACTAAATTATTTCTCCGACTGTGGCTCCCTAATTTTATTGTGCGTTCCTTCTCCAAGCTGGCACTTTTTTTCAAGTTGTTCACACCTTTCTCCAGATCAGAGATCGTCTTTGCTTGAGCGTCAACTTGGGCAGTCACAGTTTTGAAAGACTCATGAGCTAACTCGAGGCTTTTTTCCAGCTCAGCACTTACTTTCTCCAACTGCTTTTGCTTTTCTTTAATCTCGTCAATTTCTTCCATCCGCGCCAGAACCAGGTCAAGTTTACAGTACATCTCGGTTATAGTATCGGCCATTCATTATCTTCGGATTGTGAACCTGATTCTTTTCTCCTGGCTCTCTTTCGACCTGTCTCTGGAACTTTGTTCCCCGTTTGGTCTGTCATAATTAGTGCCTTTGGCGTCTGGAGAAGTTCTCAAGCCATTTTGAGCGAAATACTCACAGACATTAAAAAGTTGCGTTCGTCCGCTCTGGGGGTCGGTCCCATCAAGTAACGTGCTTCGTGCACACTTTTAGCTATATTTCTTTTTCCCTTCAATGAATTTTTTTTATTTCTTCACTTTAAAGGGGGTAATTAGTACACCGAAATGAAAAATATAGGTCACCGTGCTCATTCAAGAGCTAAAAACCATGGTACCTGGTGCGGATGAATTTTCAGTAATTACTTTTTTGGCACTTTTCGGCTTCCAAATTGCGTGGCGAGAGTAACCCAAAACCCAAAAGCAGACCCTTCTTGTCACAATACGAATGTTTTCCAGATAGGGACACGCGTTAATGTCAGCTTTACTCGCGTGATTGCATTTTTAAAGGTTAAACCCACGCGTGGAACTAACAACTCAAGTTTACTTTAAAGCGCACAATGTAAGCCAAAGAAATTTTATAATTTAACTCCATGATCGAAATTTTGTTTACAAAGGATAATAATGGATCGACATCGACCTAGAGTGCCAGCTTCACTCGCGGGGAGTCAACCATTTTCTTTTGCCCCTTGCGCAACATAGCATGAAAATTTGCTGACCTACTTTATTGATACACACAACTCGACAGTCGTTAAGAGTTGAAAAAGATGAAGTTTTTTACCAAAACCATGTATTTCCGATTTTTAAACTCTAACAAAAATGTAGTAATGGTATGTCCACTCCGGAAAATAATACTGCAAACAACAGCAAGCCCTAATCGCGATGAGAACACTCATGGATCACACATCGCAACAGAACTCATTTTGTTTGTTTGTGTGGGTTTTACCGATAATATTGGCCTGTAAAGAAATATATAACGGATTTTTTTTGCACCCTCCGCCGGCACCATATAATTGGCTAAATGCTATGGAAGTAATTTACTTTAAAGAGATCATTAAAGGAGTAAAATCTTTAAAAAAAATTTTCCTGCAGGGGTTTCCTGGCGCGCCACTGCGAACACAGCGAACCTCATGTGTAAGGCTGCGAGAAAATAAAAAAGGACAAGTAGAAAAAGTTCTTTACTCACACATCTCTTTTGCAATCTATGACCGATTTTACATCTCGTGTCTAAAGCAAGAGTTGGAAATGTAAATGCAATTTTATACGTTACGAGATGAGGTATTTTACTCCGCCGTTGGTAATTTTATTCCTATTGTATTTATAATTCGGGATGCAGGTTCCACCGTTTTGACATGGCGAGGAAGAACAGGGAGTCTGAAAACAAAATGAGCATACTGTAATCAACTGTGAAGACTAGTAGGTAATGGTAATAGGACTAAATGGTGTAAAATTCACAATGGTAATAAGACTGAGTGAAGTACAATTCATAATCATGGTAATAGGATCAAATGGAGTACAGTTCATAATGGTAATAAAACTGAGTGGAGTGCAATTGATAATGGTAATAGGACTGAGTGGAGTACAATTCATAATGGTAATAGGACTGAGTGGAGTACAATTCATAATGGTAATAGGACTGAGTGGAGTACAATTCATAATGGTAATAGGACTGAGTGGAGTACAGTTCATAATCATGGTAATAGGACCGAGTGGAGTACAAGTCACAATCATGGTAATGGGACCGAGTGGAGTACAATTCATAATGGTAATAGGACTGAGTGGAGTACAATTAATAATCATGGTAATAGTACTCAGTGGAGTATGATTCATAATCATGGTAATAGAACTAAGTGGAGCACGATTAATAATGGCAGTAGGACCGAGTGTAGTACAATTCATAATCATGGTAATAGGGCTAAGTGGAGAACAATTCATAGTGGAAATAGGACTAAGTGGAGTAAAATTCATAATCATGGTAGTAGGACTGATTGGGGTACAATTGATAATAGTAAAAGAGCTCAGTGGAGTACAATTGATAATAGTTATAGGACTGAGTGGGGTACAATTGATAATAGTAATAGGACTCAGTGGAGTACAATTCATGATGGTAATAGGACTGAGTGGCGTACAATTCATAATCATGGTAATAGGACTGAGTGCAGTACAATTCATAATCGTGGTTATAGGACCGAGTGGAGTACAATTCATAATCATGGTAATGGGACCGACTGGAGTTTAATTCATAATGGTAATAGGACCGAGTGGAGTACAATTAATAATCATGGTAATAGGACTGAGTGGAGTATGATTCATAATCATGGTAATAGGACTAAGTGGAGCAAAATTCATAATGGTAATAGGATCGAGTGGAGTACAATTCATAATGGTTATTAAGTGGAGTACAATTCATAATGTAATAGGACTGAGTGGAGTACAATTCATAATCATGGTACAGTCGAACCTCGATTATCCGGACTCATCGGGACCTCGGTAAATAGTCCGGATAATCGAGAGTCCGGATAATAGAAAATATGAATATTAATAAGATAGAAATGTGAAATAATTATCTGCTTATCTTTAATCAATAGAACGGCTAGCTTTCGCTTCGTAGGCATGTTTTTGATTTGCGTTTACGATCGATCGCTCGTCTGTTTACATATTATTTATTGGGCTTCTTGCGAATTTGTGTTTTCAAGATCACAACTAATTAACATTCATGGGAAAATTGGGACCAGAGAAGAAAGTCCGGATAATCGAATAGTCCGGATAATCGGGGTCCGGATAATCGAGGTTCGACTGTAGTATGACTGAGTGGATTACAATTCATAATGGTAATAGGACTAAGTGACTAAGTGGAGTACACTTCATAATCATGTTAATAGGAGTGAGTGGAGTACAATTCATAATGGTAATAGGACTAAGGAGAGTACAATTCATAATCATGGTAATAGGATGGAGTGGAATAGAACTGATAATGGTAATAGGACTAAGTCGAGTACAATAAATAATGGTAATAGGACTAAGTGGAGTACAATAAATAATGGTAATAGGACTAAGTGGAGTACAATAAATAATGGTAATAAGACTGAGTGGAGTACAATTCATAATGGTAATAGGACTGAGTGGAGTACAATAAATAATGGTAATAGGACTGAGTGGAGTACAATAAATAATGGTAATAGGACTGAGTGGAGTACAATAAAAAATGGTAATAAGACTGAGTGGAGTACAATTCATAATGGTAATAGGACTAAGTAGAGTACAATTCATAATCATGGTAATAGGACCAAGTGGAGTACAATTCATAATCATGGTAATAGGACTAAGTGGAGTACAATTCATGATGGTAATAGAACTAAGTGGAGTACAATTCATAATGGTAATAGGACAAAGTAGAGTACACTTCATAATCATGGTAATAGGATGGAGTGGAGTACAACTGATAATGGTAATAGGACTAAGTGGAGTGCAATAAATAATGGTAATAAGACTGAGTGGAGTACAATTCATAATCATGTTAATAGGACTGAGTGGAGTACAATTCATAATGGTTATTGGACTAAATAGAGTACAATTCATAATTATGGTTATAGGATGGAGTGGAGTGCAACTGATAATGGTTATAGGAAAAAGTGGACTACAATTAATAATGGTAATAGAACTAAGTGGAGTACAATTAATCATGGTAATAGGACTGAATGGAGCACAATTCATAATGGTAAAAGGACTGAGTGGAGTACATTCTACTCCGATCAGTCCTATTACCATGATTATAAATTGTACTCCACTCTGTTTTATTACCATTATGAATTGTGCCCCACTCAGTCCTATTACCATTATTAATTGTACTCAAAGCGGTCCTATTACCATTATGAATTGTGCTCCACTCAGTCCTAAGACCATTATTAATTGTACTCCACTCCGTCCTATTACCATTATAAGTTGTACTCCACTCAGTCCTTTAACCATTATTAATTGTACTCCACTCAGTCCTATTACGATGATTATGAATTGTACTCCACTCAGTCCTATTCAATTCAGAATATATAGGACAAAGTGGAGTAAAAATCATCATCATGGTAATAGGACTGAGTGGAGTACAATGAAGCGAAGTAACTTATGTATGGAGCGAAGTAACTTATGTATGGAGCGAAGTAACTTATTTGATGGAGCGAACTAACTTTCAAGTGGAGCGATCTGACTTCGGTATGGAGCGATCTCACTTGGAGCGATCTAACCATGGAGCGATCTAACCGGATACCTTATTAATTGTACTCCACTTAGTCCTATTACCATTATGAATTGTACTCCACTCAGTCCTCCAACCATCATGAATTGCACTCCACTCAGTCCTATTACAATTATGAATTGTACTGCACTCATGCCTATTACCATTATGAATTGCACTCCACTCAGTTCTATTAACATGATTAGGAATTGTACTCTACTTAGTCCTATTACGATTATGAATCTTACTCCACTCAGTCTTATTAGCATCATTAATTGTACTCCACTCAGTTCTATTACCATTATTGATTGTACTCCACTTAGTCCTATTACCATTATTTATTGTACTCCACTTAGTCCTATTACTATTATAAATTGTACTCCACTCAGTCCTATTAACATGATTATGAATTGTACTCCACTTAGTCCTATAACCATTATTTATTGTACTCCACTTAGTCCTATTACCATTATTTATTGTACTCCACTTAGTCCTATTACCATTATTTATTGTACTCCACTTAGTCCTACTACCATTATTTATTGTACTCCACTTAGTCCAATTACCACGATTATTTATT